ATTTGATATTACCAAACGTTTACAATTTTTGCATTCTAATGGGTATAAATTACTTTTGGGGTTATTTTAGTTTGTATGTCCCTGACAACTTGTGAGGATGAATATCTTTGCCTGCTTATTGACCATTTATATTTCCTCCTCTGTTAATTGCCTGTTCATATTCTTGTCCATTTTCCTATTAGTTTTTTTTTTCTTATTGAATTAGATGAGTTCGTTACACACAGTGGTGTGCTGTTCACTGTAAACATCTCCCATCAACATCACATTTAATGACATAATACTGGTAGCTTGAAACTGGCCATGATGGAAATATTTATACCATGAAAATTTAGAGAACCTACATCCCCACCTACTCAATCCTTCAACATTTACCAGCACGCCATATTTTGAATCCTAATCTGTTGGCTGCTACTTGTCTCAATCACATCTTAGCAATCATTTTCAAGTTTTTGCAACATTCAATATTGTTGCTCATTCACACTTAAACTTAACCTCTTTAGATTCCATTACAACACACTTTTCCTAGATTTTTCTATTGAAAATCATTGCTGCTGATGACTTCAAAACTTAGAGCTTCAATCCCACATTACCACTATTCCTGTACCATACTTCTAAGTACCAAGTAGACATTTCCCCTTTTATGTCCCACCATAAGTATAAACACAATAGGTCTAAAACTAGTAAATAATTAAGTGATACAATTCAAAATAAAATCTAACAATGCACATTGGAACGAACATATCCAACATTTCTAAAACTTTTAGTCATCTGAAAGGAAAGTTTGACTGAGAACTGGGGGAATTTGCCTCCAAGATGGCTCACTCACACGGCTGTTGGCAAGAGGCTGCTTAAATGTTCTTATGATATGGCAGCTGGGTTCCCCCACAGCTTGTTATCCAAGAGTACAAGATGGAAGCCATAGTGGCATTTATGACCTAGCCTCAAAAGGCATGCTCCAGCATTTCCACAATATCCTCTTAGTTACACAACTCAGCCCTATTCATTATTGGCAGGAACTCTACCAGGGCATGAATACTGGAAGGTAGGGCTCATTTGGGGTTCTCTATGACAGAGATTGATCCTTTGAAATTACTGAAGCTTTTTCAATGGCCTAACACATAGTTGGTCTTCATAAATATTCCATATGTAGATGTGTTAGATAGCAACATGTTACAAAAGATAACTAATACAACCTCCTTTAAGTTAGCTGTAAGATGATGATGTGTCCTGATGTCTTGCTACTCATGGACTAATGGCACCAGGATCAACGGGGAACTAAGGGTACAAGACAAGTGAAAGAACTGAACTCTAAAGTATGACAAAGTCCTATGAGGAGATATTGAACATATGCAATGTTTTATCTTTGGGAGAGCACAAATAAAGTGGTGGTCATAAAATAAGGTTAAAAAATAAAACTACTCAAATTTTAACAAATTATTTTTTAAAAAAAAAATTTATTTTGAGAAAGAGAGAAAGAGACAGTGTGAGAGAGCAGGGGAGGGGAAGAGAGAGAGAGAGAGAGAGACAGACAGACAGACACCCAAGCAGGTTCTGTATGTACAGCATGGAGCCTGATGCAGGGCTTGATCTAATGAACTGTGATATCATGACCCGAGATGGATGCTTAACCAACTGAGCCATTCAGGCACCCCGATTTTAACAAATTCTTTTTGACAAGAGTTGGACGCTTAACCAACTGAGCCATTCAGGCACCCTGATTTTAACAAATTCTTAAAAGCCAAGAATGAGCTAGCAAGATAACTGAGCATCCTGGGATATCTACTCGCCAGAATTTTTCTATGAGTCTCCATCCAGTGCTCCAGAGGAAGACTGGAGGCAGTGAGAAATACCCTTGGAGATGATGATGGGATGTGCAGAACATACCAAGGTTTAAGCCTGGAGCAAGAATATCAGGCAAAGCTCATCCATGTTCCAGGCCCTAAATGAGCACAAGATGAGATGAGGTGTCACTGTGGGACAGGCACAAAAACTGGACAAAACTCCACTATGAAGCCAAAGCTGCCTGCCACTAAGAGAGAGGCAAAACACCCTTTTCATCCCAGTCCCAGACAAAGGATGACTGCTGCTGGGAGAGAAATACAAAACTCAGCTATCCTCACACTTTACTGACACTAGGCAATGGCCATGTGTCATTAGGTAATGGGCAGGAAATCTGCTCATGCCCAGATGATACAAAGCAGAGATATACTTCCACTGAGAAAGGAAATGGTCACTCACTTATAACCAGGACCGTCCACTGATAGTAGGCAGAGTTTATTTACCATGATAGGAATGAGCAGGAAATTGGCCTGAGCTCTGAACAGTGCTATCCAATAGGACTTTCTACAGTGATAGAAATATCATATATCTGTACTGTCCAATATGCCAACCACTAGCCACATGTAGATAACTGGCTACTGATAAGTGCGGCCCTAGACTCTTCTCTGAGTAGATGGGAGAGACTGTCTGCTCCCAGGGGAGGCAAGCAAAGTCCTACTTTTGAGACAGGCATAAGAGCCTGCTTAATACTAAAACTAGAACAGAAGAATCAAGAAACTCATGTTCCCACCCCAAGAGCCTCATACCAAGTAACAAGCAATTGTTATGGGAGGGAAAAGAGCACAGACAGAAATAACTAACTCTCCTCCTGCCCCCAAACGTATCACAAGCTGAAAGATGAAGGTAGAGCAAAAATGCTAAGGAACATCATCTAACACTCCAGGACTTTCACTAAGCACAAAGTATTAGCAGTCCATTTCTACATGAATTTGAAGACTGTGGTATTCTAAAGGTAATTATGACAACCACAAAACCCAAACCCAGCCCAATTATTTACAAAGATTGACCAACACCTGTTTCACACTAACAGACAAAAGTAGAGGCATGTCTATTTCTGAATAGAAAGATTATTTGCCTCTGTTTCTACCATTCTTTTATAAATAATGTTTGACATTTAATCCAAAATTAGGAAACACACACAGAAACAGGAGATAAAACACTCAACAAAACCAAACACAGAGATGGATGAGATAATGAAGTTATCAGACACCATATCTATAATTAATCTTTTATGGATCTAGTGGGAAATTTTAGCAGAAAGATGGAGACTAATTTTATTGTTATTTTTTAAATGCTTATTTATTTTTCAGATAGCACAAGCAGCATAGGGGCAGAGAGAGAGAGAGAGAGAGAGAGAGAGAGAGAGAGAGAGAGAATCCCAAGCAGGCTCCATAGTATCAGTGCACAGTCCAACATAGAGCTCGAACTCATGAACTTTGAGATCACGACCTGAGCTAAAATCAAGTTGGCTGCTTAACTGACTGAGCCACCCAGGTGCTCCAAGATGGAGACTACTTTTAAAAAGGCAAATAGAAGGGGGCACCTGGGTGGCTCAGTCAGTTGGGCATCGGACTTTGGTTCAGGTCATGATCTCACAGTTCATGAGTTCAAGCCCTGCATTGGGCTCTGTGCCAACTGCTCAGAGCCTGGAGACTGCTTTGGATTCTGCATCTCCCTTTTTCTCCACCCCTCCCCCACTCGTGCTGTCTCTTCCTCTCTCTGAAAAAAAAAAAAAAAAAATTAAAAAAATTAAAAAAAAAATAATAAGGCAAATAGAAATGCTAGAAATGAAAAATATGCACAAGTCCTTTATCAGGCTTATTGACAGAATGAACACAACAGAGGGAAGACAGAATCTACAGAAAGATAAAAATTATCCAAACTGAAACAAAGAGAGAAAAGAGTAGGAACTGGGGCAAAGTAACCAAGAGGTAAGAAAGAGCAAATGGTCTAATATATTTTTACTTGGAAGCCCAGAAGTGGGAAGTGAGCCACAAGAAATATTTATATATAATGAACAAAACTTTCATAAATTTAATAAATGACAGATCTGATAATGACAATATCCAATAACAAATCACAGATCCAAGAACCTTTGAAAAACCAAAGGCAGGATACAAAAAAAACCAAACCAAACAAAACCACACCTAGGTGCATCATAGTCAAACAGTGATATAAAGAAAAAAGTCCTTGTGGGAGGGGAGATGGACTAAATGGGTAAGGGGTATTAAGGAATTTACTACTGAAATCATTGTTGCACCATGTGCTAACTAACTTGGATGTAAATTATAAAAAAAAAAAAAAAGAAAAGAAAAGAACTATTACAAAGGAACAAAGAATGGCAGCAGACTTCCCATCAGAAACTATATAAGCCAGAAGATAGGAGAGTAACATCTTTAGAGTACTTAAAGAAAACAAAAAAACAAACACACCTGTTAACCTAGAATACCCATCTTCCACAAAAAGATTTTTATAAATTCAATGCTATAAGAAATGTTAAATAAACTTCTCCAGGAAAAAAGAACTAATCCAGATAAGCATCAGGATTGGTCAACTTCTCTGTGAAATGCCAGATATTAAGTGGTATAATGGTAATATGATTTGAAGGTAGACTGTGATAAATTAAAGACACATACTGATAAGTGTGTAACAACCCACCCCTAAAAAAAGAATAGCTGATAAGCCAATAGTAGAGATAAAACTGAATCATAAAAAAAATACTCAATCCTTAAAAAAAACAGGAAAATAAAGAACAGAGCAAATAGAAAACAAACAGCTTGATCATAGATTTAAATCCAACCATATCAATTACATTAAATAGTCTACATTACAATTATAAGGCAGAGACTGCCGTATTGAATAAATTAAGAGTAATATACTGATACAGTTGACAGGAACAGTATAGAAACTAAGAATAGAAAATTAGAATATTAGAAAACTGATTTATGTACCTATAGTAGACTGAAATTCTGTTAGATTTATATAAATATTTAAGAAATTTAAAAACATCTCAAATGAAAGCAAATGAATATAATTAAGCTCAAACGGAAGTAATCATGAGTTGACTATTTTTTGCCTTCCTTTAATTTCCCCATATTTTAAGGTCTCTATGTTAATTTTCCCCCACCTGCCCAAATATAGCAATGTTCATAAACACTGACCTTGCCATGGCTTCTTTCCACTTTCTGAAAACATTTATTCAGGGACAGATTATGTCGAACAGAATTCTTCCAGCCTGTTGGTGCAGTGGCAAAATATGGGAAGCGGTCCAAAATCCAGCTATAAATTTCTTTGACAGGCAAACATTTATTTGGAGAGTGTTCAATAGCCATGTAAATGAGAAGACTAAAGGAATATGGGGGCTTTGAAGTTGCTGATTTTTTTTCTGGGTTCGGATAGCAAGATGGTCCTAAGGATGGCACATCATCTCCCTCTATGTCATACAATGGACTAACAATTGGAAGACCCTCACTTCCGAAGCTGAAGTTTGTTAGAAGATTAGTACTTTCATGAAGCCAGTTCAAGTTTGTGAGTTCATCATCTGCTGACTCACTGTCCACTAGAGTGGCCTTAGGCCTGGCAGCATCAACAGCTTCAGGCAAGCTTCCCATTTTGTAAATCTGGCTTAATCCTGCAACCTTTTCAGCTCCTGGAGTTTCAGCTCTCTTTTCTGGAGTCATTCCAATTACTGGACCCATTTACTCTTACAGTTCTGCAATAAAGGAAACAATTGTCAATCAATATAATACTTAAGATTTTTAAGCTCATGGAAAAAGAAAATACATATTTAAATATCACCAAAATCAAAAATTTTTCAATCAATTATACCACATAATATTTAAGCACAATATTTGTGTAACAAAGACATTAAGGTTACAATACAAGGAACAGAGCTTATTTCATGGTATTAGAAATGACTGTAAATAAAATATAGTATTAAAACACCATATGTATGAGTGACATTAAGAAAATTAAATAATTGTGAATACTTACTAAAGTCCCTAGCCCACAGTTATAGCCTAATGGTAATGCTTCTTATTATTAAAAATGAGCAGACTTTCTTTGAATTGTAAGACTTTATAATCTATGCATTTTAAGGATCTATGACCTATTGTAATAGTCATACATATGGCTCAATACAGAAAATAACCAAATTTAAAACATTGCTTAAATAATAATTCCAAATAAACCCTTTCCTCAAATATGAAATATTTATTATAAAGAGATAAACAGTTTCTAATATTTTTATAGTATATCATACTAAAAAGATAACATTTCTTATTCACTAAATTCATTATCACCAAAATTAAATTTACTATAAATTTATTATTTCTTCTGTACATTCTAACATTTTTAATTGAATTCTGTATCATCTCATCAAGTACTGACACCGAAAGGCTGACATTCTTGAAGTAAAATTTGAATTGTAACTATTTTCAAGGAGAAGAAAGAAAGATATTTCTAAACTACCCTTTTTTATTTCTATTTTCTCAAATGTCTTTTGTTTTGCTTTTGGAACATACTTCAATACAAAAAACTTATGATGGGAGAATAACTGATCAAAGAGAAAAGTAATAGACCTAAGGTGCTATTTAATTCATTTTCAATGGTTCATAAAAGTACCCTACTTACGAATTCAGTGAAAAACCTTCCATGTCTTCCTAGTCTATCTACTTATGTTTATATAACTGAAATAAGAGAAGTATCTCCAGAGTTTTACTTTACTTAGAACAAAACTGGCAGGTTACGCTAAGAATTATGAAAAAGATTTTATATGTATAACACGCCTATCTGGATTCTGGTAGCTACTAATAGATGTAGTCTCAAAGCACTTAATTATCAACAGCATCAGCTAATATTTTGGGGGCCAGATGTTGTGCTAAACACCACAAACTATATCTCAATTAACCATCAATTAAACTCTCTATATAAAGTAGGCACAATTATTAACCCAATTTTATAAATGAGGAAAATGACTCAGAGGTTAAGCATCCTGTTTTAGCTTACCTGATCAGTAAATGGAAACAACAGAATTTAAACCCAGAAAGACTGAGTTCTGAACCAAAATCAACTACTACATTATCCTGGTATCAATGCATACACATCACCTGTGAATACCAATGACTCAATCCTATCCATCTTAAATCTCATTATTGTTCTCTCCATATCAAGTTCCTATCTTTCTTACTTACACCTGTATCTATAACTTGACATATTAAGACACTTTAAAAACAAAAAGATCAAACTGTAACAAATATGGTTTCTATTTCAATCAACTATGCAAACCACACATTCATAAACATACACACATCTGTGCATACATGCACACACTATATTTCAGATGACATTCTGTCCAATGTAGCTGACCAAATTATTCACTTTACCACCTAAGTCTCTCTACTCATAGAGAATTCCAAAAATGTGAATGAGAATTCAATGGCTGAAGAATGTCTTGCTTCCTTAAACAAAAAAACTCTCAGCGCTCAACGTTCAAAGAAAAGAATGACTAATTTCCAATGTTCTAACTTTTACCTCTCACCTATATCTCCATTTATTTTCATTTACATATAGAAATCAGAGAGTAGCACGTATTAGTAGCTAACATTTACTGAGATTTTACTATACTACAGATACTATGCTATGGACTTTATAATCTCTACTTACTCTGCATGGCTATTCAGTTCTGTGTATGGCCCTTTCAGCCATGAATTCTGTAATATGTAATTTTTTTACTTTTGTATTCCTAATGAATCTTAACAAAATGTTCAGCATGAATAGGCATTCAAATTATAATTATTTCAAACTGAAATGAACATATAGTCAACATATATGTTTATTCTGTATTTGCCTTTAAGACTTATTTTATTTTAGGAAGAACAAATATTGTTAAAATGTTAATACTACCCAAAGCAATCTACTTATTCAATGCAATACATATCAAAATAACACCAGCATTCTTCACAGAATGAACAAACAATCCTAAAATTTGTATGGAACCAGAAAAGACCCTGAATAGCCAAAGCAATCTTGAAAAAGAAAACCAAAACAGGAGGCATCACAATCCCGGACTTCAAGCTGTATTACAAAGCTGTAATCATCCAGACAGTATGGTACTGACACAAAAACAGATATTCAGATCAACAGAACAGAATAGAGAACCCAGAAATGGACC